TGCTTCAAAGCAGTGCCGCGGCACTGCTTTGAAGCCACAGATGCTTCAAAGCAGTGCCCCGGCACTGCCTTGAAGCACCCTGAGGGCGGAGGCCCTCCAGGGAGGCGCGAGGATCGCAGGGACCGAGGGAGGCCCTCCAGGGAGGCGTTCAGCTCGCCATCTGGCTCAACCGCGCGCGGCCCCACTGCCCGCACCCCCGCCTTGCCCGCAGTTGCGGCTGTGTCCAGCGCAGTAGCACACATGCCGACTTCGAGCGAATGGAGCCCTGTGTGCGTTGAGAAGGTCTTGTGCATCCGTGGAGGTTGGCTTGCGCAGACCACCCCCGCCCCCGAAAAGGATGTCAAGGTGCTCCACGCAAGGCCCCTCGGAGAGATAACTTTCGTGCACGTGAACATGCAAAAGCCTTGGCTGCTCAAGGTGTGCGCCAAAGGTAAACCGACCGCAGGGGCCTTGAAGGCCTCCAAGGCCTGGGACGCGCTGAAGAAAGAAGTCGCGAAGCAGGGCGGCGCCGCAGTTGCGGACGATGAGAGCGACGGCGACGCGGGGCACGAAGCAGATGACCCCATGTCGTCCCTGGTCAGCTCCACGGACGCCTCGAAGAAGCAGGCAGCGACCCCGACCAGCGCCAAGAAGCAGAAGACTGGAACGCGTTCGGCGACTACTGGCCTGCCCAGGGGCGAGGCCGTGGAGTCGGCCATAGCAACTGTGCACTCTGTACAGATGCCCGCAAAGAGCCCCATGAAGTTTCCGCACGACACGGCCGTTCGAAACGTGCGGGTGGCCAGCTTCAAGCTGAGGACGTTGTGGCTGGACGCTGCAGACCTTGGGTGGCTGATCGACATGATCGTGGACGACGTGAGCCTCGGCGGTGTCCCCGACATCGGCGACGGCGACAAGGACGAGGCCGCAGTGGCGGACAGGGACTGGGCATCGGCGGTTGACCCTGCCACCCCGCCGGCGAAGCAAAAGGAGGTCGACCCCCTCGTGGCGCAGGGGAGCGGCTCTGGCTTCACCGTCGTTTGGGACTTCAAGGGCGCTTGGGTCGCGACCATCACGCGAGAGTGTGCCAACAAGGGCAAAAGGATCGAGATGGATGTGAAGAAACTTACAAAGAAGAAGTGGCAGACGGCGCAGTCGGTGAAGGGCTACGACTACGAGTGGGAGGGCATGACGCAGCACCAGCGCAAGCAAGCGGCTCTGGATTACCTCGAGCTCCAAATCCCCAGTCTGTTCGACTGAGGCCCGAAGCCGTATGGGCCGCTGTTGCGGTGGGGCTACTGAGTGCCCGCAGTTGCGGGGTGGCTGGGTGCGCGTGAACACGCGGAGGGCGAGGCGGTGTGAGGAGGCAGGCGGAAGGTTTAGGGTGTTCCACGGGTGCACGCCTTAGTGCGCCAACTTGTGTGGGCGAGCGTTTTTCCTAGGGAAGCATGGAGTGAAGCATCGAAACCCTGTGCGCGCGATGATTGGGGCTTCCGCGCGGGCGTTGTTGAAAAGTACCTCCTTCTTCGCCCCTCCGCATCGTCTTCAGTTGCTCCTCCCTCCTCCCCTCCCTCTTCCTAGTTCTGTAGCCCGCAGCCGAGTGCCCGGCCCGAGTCGTTCGCCACGCAACCGCTCATGGATGTTCCCGTGGGGCGGACATGGTATGGCGAGGAGGACGGAACGCATTTCGAGGTGGAGTGGCTCCATTACGACAGCGGCTGCGCACCGAGGAAAACGAAGTATGGCACCACTGGGCTCGCCAACATCTTGGGCCGCAGTAGCGGCGTTCCGTGCCCCGAGAAGATAAAGGTGCACGCATGTGCGGATTTTCCGTGCCTAGCGAAGTGGCCCGCGTCGCAGTACGGCCTTGTTGAGCCGCCTCGCTTTCATTTGCGGCCGTCTGCTTGGCGACCGGGCGCGACGCCACCCCCCGCAGATGCGGCTCCAGGCGGCACCGCAGTTGCGGCTCCCTCGGCCCCTGCACACATAGCACCAGCAACACCAGCAGAACTCGCAGCTCCTGCGCAAGAAGGACACGCAGCTCCAGCACCAGAAGCACC